GTTGTATTCCCTCGACCTCGCTTAGAAGAGAGGGGAGGTTCATCATCGCCAGGTTAAAAAGCAGAGGAGACAGGACTGCCCCTTGGGGTGTACCCCGCGTGCCTAATAAGTGCGGGCCGTGTTCGGTAGAATTAAGGCGAATGAAGACAGTGCGATGTGATAGAAAGGCGCGAATGTAGTTGAAAGTATTCTGCCCGCAGTTTGTGGTAGACAAGTTAGTGAGTACAGTGCCATGTGTTTGACGTTGTCAAACGCCCCGCGGAGACCGTGAGCGAGCACGGCTTTATCGTTATGGCGCATAGCAGTCGGCTCTCTGATATCGTGTTGAAGCTGGAACAGGACGTCATGCGCCGACAGATGGGGGCGAAAGCCAAACATCGTGTCGGCAAAGGTCCTCCTGGCCTCCAAGTAGGCGGAAAGGCGTTCGCGAACCATGGTTTCCATGAGTTTGCCTGCGCAAGAAGTAAGTGACATGGGTCTCAGTGCCTCAATACTAACGGACTTTGCCGATTTGGGAATGAATGTCACGACCGATGTGGTCCATTCCGTTAGAAGCGGAGAGCCGTCCCATATCGAATTTATAAGGTGGAGTATTGAGAGGTGTGCTTGGTCGGGAAGATTTGCCAGGAGCGATACTGTGATTCCGTCGCGTCCAGGGGCCGTGCCCCGTCGCATTTTCGTGAGTGCAAATCGTAAATCAGAAAGCGTGTATGGGGCGTCGAGGTCGGTGTTAGGGGCGCCGGAATATGTATATGCTGGGCCTGCGGGATCATTTGTGCGGCAGATGTAGCGGTCACAAAGTTCTCGCGCGAGTTCATCCGTAGTGCCCTGAAAGGCATGCAGAACATGGTGGAGCTGGCGTTGCGTTTCTTCCCTGGTGGTGGAGGGATCTGAAAGGCTTCCAAAGAGTCGCCACGCACTCTTAGAGCTCATCTGGTTTGCAGCCTTCGAACAGGTGTCTGCCCAGTTAGCATCGGAAAGTTGTGCGGAGTATGCGGCCGCCTCTGCAGTGGGCGCCTCAATGCGAGCGCGAAGTTTCCGATTAAGTTTGTTGCGTTTCCAGCGCCTTATGAGCCCACGGCGAGCGTGCCAAAGATGTAAGAGGTGTGGATCGATTCCAGGAGTCAAATTAGAGGTTGCAAGGGTGCGAGTGTTCGCTTGTTTCATATGGAGAGCGTATGATGCCCACGCTGCATATTCGGTCGAGGAGAGGCCGGCGGGGAATGGTTGCATTCTGAACCGAGTCCAATCGGTGAGACGGGCTTGGCCCCAGTGTTGGCGCATTTTCTGCCGCGGTGTGAACGAAATGCGGAGTAAAAAAAAGTGATCGCTGCCTAGGGTTTCGCCTAAATTCTTCCATGTAGCATCGCGGATGTGACGGGTGAGGGAGAGGTCGGGGCATGTGTCTCGCGTGACCGAGTTGCCGGGACGTGTGGGTTGTGCCGGATCGGTAAGAAGCGTCAGGCTCAGCGAGGAAATGAGCTCCTTGAGCTCTCTGCCCCGGGCCTTCTCGTAGTGGTAACCCCAGTGAGGGCTGGTGGCATTAAAGTCGCCGACAATCACCAGTGGTTGTCGGGCCGCTATACGCAGCGCCCGATGGAAGAGATGCGCAAACGAAGCCCTTGCAAGGCGAGGGGGACAGTACACGTTTAAGATATGTATTGATGGTTGGCCCCTCCGCTAAGACAGCACTGATATCATGCAGTAGTCGTAAGGAAGATCCAGATCGAGGTCAATCTGTACCGCCGTGTAAGCTTTATGCACGAGGAGGCATATGGTGGTGCCGCCTACATAGGAGCAGTATCCAGAAAGGGATGGCGCAGGGCCAGATTCTTGGAGCTCCAAGACGGCCGGCTGAGAGCCAAGTGAGCGGAGTAAAAGCCAAAGATGTGAACGCTTTCGCCTGTTCCCGAAGCCTCCAGGGTTCCACTGTATGATCTCGAATTTAGGCGCAATGTTTGAACGGGACGTACGATTGGTAGCCATCGTGACTGTCTTAGGTTTTATATTTGGTCCTCCATGTCCCGCTCGAATTCCTCAGAGGCAGGGAGGGGCACGGAGGCCGGATTGTCCGACGGCGGGATGGTGGTAGCCACCTTACGACGACGCCGTGGAGCTGTACCCTCACTGCTCACTGAGCAGGAGCGGGAACGCGATGCCTTGGGTTGAAACTGGGTGATTGCCCAGGCTTGAATAGGCTGGGTAGCCTCTACTACTATGCGTTGGACCGAGAAGCTGGTGAGGAGGTGATTAATCGAAGCTTCGACGCGCGTGAGGCGTTCCTCTACGCGCGGGGTGCGCTCTTCGCTAGGGAGAGTTTGGTTAGCGGGCAAGATAACCTGAGGTGCCCCAGGAGCCTCAAGAGCTTCTGGAGTAGATGTGGCACCGGTTCCGAGTGCTGGAGTACAAATGGTTGCTTGAACCGACGGTTTAATGGGAGTGGGCTTAGCGCCAGGACTAAGCTTGGACGTAGCTGGCGTAGCCGCCTGGACAGAGGAGGCAATACCGGATGGCCTTGCAGTACACTGTTGTTGGGGTTGAAGTCGCTTATTTAAGAGTTCGAGTTGTTTAGATAAAGAGAATTTTGCTTTTGAAGTGCCGCAACTTGCTGGCGAAAGGCCACAAGTTCGGGAGAAGGAGGATCGACAGAAGAGGGTGAGAGAGGCTTAGCAGCAGCTTTCCCTGCCCAACTGCTCACCTGAGGTACCACCGCTGGTGCTTCGAGCGGTGGGAATGCCTGAGTGTCGGCGTGGAGTGGTGGAGCCGACTGATGCAGGTTGGTGCCGCTGTCTGGCTGTGACGAACACTAGGTGGTCCCTCGAGCAGATGTTGAGGGCTGCTTGCGTTTCCGATATTTTCGGTATTTTGCCGTGCAGCCACTGGTCCCAGTCTCATGGGCGCCGTGGCAGAGGAGGCACTTGGGGTGGCAGTCATGGGCATTGAGACCTGCAGGTGCGGGAGTTCCACATTTGGCACACTGCGTTGGAGCGGGGTGAGTACACTGAGGTGGTCGATGGCCGATGGTACCGCACTTGGTGCAAACCGGGACCGTTTTCTTGTAGGCGCGGATGTACGTCGCCACGCAGTGGTAGAAGAGGATGCGGGGTCTCTTCGTGCCCTCGAAAGTCACCACCGCCGCCGCGGAATCTCCGAGTTTGCGGACCGCAAGGATAGTACCTCGAGGCCAATACAGTTCAGACTTTATCTTTTCCGGGCTTTCAGCAGGGTTTACGTTGATGACGCCCCTGCATGCATCCCCTGGTGCCTTGGCGTGGCCTCGAACGGGCAGCTGCTGATCCCCCACTTGCAGCTGGAAGTCCCCGAGGAGTCGCTGTGCCATAGGCAAAATGGTGGTGCTACAGACTAAGATGTTCTGTTCCCAGATTGGCCACACTTGAATTTGCGTGGTAGTCCGGTCGCCGAGGTGACTGCGGATGGCGTCGCCCGCGCGATCGGCCGGAACAAATGTGCGTAACTCGCAGGGAACGCGAGGTTTCACTACCACGATGTAGTCGTCGCGAGAGGGGCGAGGAGTTTGACGCGGACGCCACTTGCGTTGCTTCGCTGGCTGCGAGGACGGAGCAGAGGTAGGCACACCATCGGAGGGATGGCGCGCCGGCGTTCCTTCAAGGCTGGGGAATGGTGGCCCGCTGTGGCGTCTCGTTGTTGTTGAGACGCAGGCTTCGATTTCGCTTGCTTGCGTTGCCACAGTCTCACCATGTCGTCGAGGTATTCATCTTCTGATGGCATAGTGTTTACGGAGGATGAAATCTCCATGGACAGCATTTGGCTTCAGGTAGGATCATAACCCGTAACCACGTTAGCGGCCGCCATCGCCGGGCTGAGAGCCCTTAGTGAGGCGGCGTTGTAGCCGGGAGTGAAGGACGTCCCTCAAGTTGTCAAAACTGGACCCACCTGGACGAAAATGTTGTCTAGGCGAAGCGGAGAACTTGGCGGTGACGATAAATCCAAGTTTCAGGGGTACCAAGGTGGATGTCCGCAGAAATAGCAGCAGGGAAAGTTCGGTCGCTGTAGAAAGCGAATGTTTCAGTGTGAACTAGGCATAATGCCACAGCTCGACCATCGCAGAAGACGCGTGCCACAATTCGCGTTCGTAAAAGCCACCACACAAGTAGCAAGAAAGCCGTGCCATGGAACGCCGTCCTTCACGCGCCACGATGCTACGCCATGGGACCGGCACGAGACTCGAGGGGCAGATGAAGAGACCGACGAAGTTCGAGTCAGCGAGCAAGAGACATTTTTGGCTGACCATTTTTAGCTTTGAGTTTACGGGCACAAGTTCGCCCTAAATAAAGAGTTTATATAGTACCAGGTGCTATATTTATTCGTAACAATATGGTGGTTTTGGGATGTTAAACCCCACATATCAATCATATCAGATCCGCGGGGTGGCGTCTTGCATTCCTCGTGTTCAGAATATTGGCAGTGACGCTGGCTCTGTGAAATATACATGTTTTGAGATAGCGTGTCGCCATTGGGGCCACTATTCGGGCAACCAGTGGGGAAGCGTCACTATGTAACGTTTCTGCATGCGTTGCTGTGTGACGCGGTGGAGGTATTGTGTCGAATCAGAAAGAAGCGGCATGAAGGAGTGAATCTGACAGACCTATGATATTGGTGTGGTAGACGCGTCTATCTCATCTTCCGGGGAAAGCGTTCGGACGCACGTGTGACGCGAGTAGCACGACCCCTCATATAGCGCCGCATCACGACCGCTCCCTGAATTAAGTGGGAGCGACTGCTCCCGTTGAAAAGCGCGCGTTTGCACTGGCGTCGAAATAAAGGAGGCGTTTTTCTAAATAAGAAAAACCTAGTATGACAATGTGCTTGCACTTTCAGAAATTATTTGCGCAAATAATGCAGTACGCTGTGATACAGTCCTCTAATGCCTGTATTGACTAGCCCTATCGTAAAGGAAAACCAGCGTATGTCCTAACCAATTACAGATACAAAGATAAACTTCTGATGATTGTCTATAGGCTTCAGACGGATGTGGTCGAGGATCCCATACACGGTGGTACACATTTCGACGCCCCGTTACACTTCAACAAGGATGGCTGGGACGTTTCTCAAGTACCGCTCGAGATGTTGCTGTTCGTGCCGGTGGCCCGTGTGGACGTGCGACACAAGGTAGCGTCGGATCCGGCATACCTTCTTACTGTGGACGATATTCTCGACTGGGAGAAAGAGCATGCACGTCTACCCGACGGGTGCCTGTTTATCGCCCACACTGGACAATCTAAGGTACACATTTTCGTATACTGCAGCAGTGCTGTATGCGCCCATCGGAGATAACTTATTATCAAAGAAGTACGCCAAAACATTCAAAGACAAAAAGGAAGTTTCACTAAATTAAAATTTCTTCTGCTGACGTTCTCAGCTGATTGACCACAAGGTGTCATTGGTGCCCACAAGGTGCCATTGATGATATCAATAACGGTTTACAAGTTATTTCAGCGTGCATGGTAACACGCCAAGAGGAAGTAACAACGTGAATGATTTGCATTTCATGATCAAGTTATTCGGCGCATTTCTAGCGATTTCTCAGTCTACGCTGCAGTTGGGATCTCACTAATACCACACCGTAGTTCGACGGTGCAGGCAGACCGGAAAGACTTGTTGAAATGACGAGAGATGAATAATAACATACTCCATGGCAGTGACAGAGAGACTCGTGGTGTTGAGTGTGAAGGAAATATAATCGACATTGTGGTATGAGATTAAGAAAGATGCTCATTTTGCACGCCGTATAACACAGATTAGCTCAGCCTCATTAGGAACATATAATAGGGGAGAGAGAGACAATACTGCACCAATTGTACGCGCTCAGTGCCCAGTTTTGTTTTTACCAATACGTGGTAAGCTATATAGTCAAAACACCTTGTAGTACGCGTAGAATCTGCAACACGCTTTTTTATGCAGTTGTCACACCTTCTATTTCGCCATTTGTCTCCAACGCGTCACGCCAATTGTCTTTAGACAAGTGCATTTAGTTTGCTTATGTTTCCCTTCCTCTTAAGTCTTACATTATAAACCGTTCGACGTTTAGACCTAGAATACTCACGTACAAACGTGGTTTCTTACTTAAGAAATCAAGCAGTGCAGAAGTTCTGCATAAATGCTTTCGTCCATTGTCTTTAGATGAGATTCGTGTGCGATAAATGTGCAATACCCTAGCCCCTACAACAGTCATTTTGGAATGGCATAGCGCATAAATAGATAAGTGAATCATTTTTACCATTGAAAGTGAACTTGCTTCTGTTCAAACGTTCTGTCGGTGAGATAACGACGACTTCATCAGTTCGCTGAAACGAGACGATCAAACAACAGGCACCTCTTTTCTGGCACAGTACTGGCCCAACCGTACGGCGTATTTGGGCATCCAGGCCGACGGCGAAAGGCGTTTCCCGGCATTGACAGGAGATGCCGCATCGTTCTTGGCCACCCAGCGCAGCGTCAACGGCGTAGGTCTGGATACGGCATCCGTGGACGCGTCTGGCTACGATGCGCACAGGGCTATCCTGAATGCGAACATGTTCATCCTCGAGAATCTGGTTAACTTGGAAAAACTACCCATACTGGGGTCGTACGCAGTTGTCCTTCCACTTATGCTGGATGGTGGCAGCGGATCGCCCGTTCGCGTCGTAGCCATTGTGCCACGAAGGAAAATCTATATATACCACTCTGAAGACAATCACACAAATTAAACAGTCATTTTACTACGACGGTGCAAAACAACGCCGGGCGTGGAAACAAAACTTGTCGTTTCTGTTTTGCCTGTCCTGGAAACATGACGCAGACGCAAGGGGATGTGTTCTCGTTCTGGACGCCGACAGCTCAAAAGACACCACCAAGCCGGAGTCTAAAGCAACGGCTGCTGATGAGGTCTGCACGAAATGACGCCGCCTCACGCCGATAGGAGAAGACTAAATAAAACGAGCTGAATATTTATTGTTTTAACACCTCTAGTGTGCGAATTTATGAAAAAAAATTGACGTAGCTTAGGTTAACCGCACATGAAGTTATATTTGTGGGCAGAAAATCGCACCGACGAGATACGAGCAATCCTATCATTCTGAAAGGCAGCCGTCTTGTTTGAACAGCAAGGTAATCTGCATCGTACTTGCCAATAACGTCTTCACTAAGCTATTTTCTGTCTACACGAGAATAGCAATGCAACTAAAGGTGGTCCCTACCCACACAGCTCTCTTCCTAACCGCCTACGGTGAGTCGAGCCAAGGTCGAGCTGGCGTTTAGAAGAGCGCGCTAGTCTTCTTCAGGGCTATATGTAGAAGACAAGTCTACTTGTTTTTGCGTCGACTTGAGCTCATTACCCATGTGTAGGTATTTTTTTTCTTGGAAGGTTACATATTTCTCTTCGTGCCGTTTTGCGGTGATTATTTGAACACACCCGGGTTGCAGCATATCGAAGTCCTTTCGTGTGAAAACAGTTGAAAAATAGAAGTGAACTAATAAATCTGCGGTGAATTTAAACGATCACGTTTCACGCGAGAGATAGCGTGTAGAAGATCACTTGTTTTAAAGTTGTCATGAGCACGAGACAAGACTGTTAGTGCGCAATCCGAGGTTACGCGATTTTTTCCTATAGTAAAAAAACGCAACTATAAAAAAAGGGAAAGTAAGAAAACTAGAAAAAGGCAAGCTTGGAAAATGAGAGATGTCACTGTTTACTGTACTTTGACTAGCCAACAACGTGACACCATTGTCAGTGTATTAGAGGTAAAAGAAAAAGTAACTGTACACCCTACTAGATATGACAATAACTTCAAGACTCCACATTGTATGTCAAGGAGGTGGGAGGTCATATCGGCACAAGTCTTCGAATACATGACGCTTCCTAAACACAAGCTCCTCCTGGCGGTCGAAATCGAAGTCATTTCGCTTGCCTCCGAATTCGTCGGGTACCAGGTCTTGTGGACAAATTTTCCAGAGCTCCGAGAGGTCCTCTCGAACGAAGTGTACCTGTAAAAGTGAATACATAGCGCAGTCAATACAAGTCCACTAATATTGGTGTTGCATGTTTAATGAAGAGCAAGGGCGAGAACAGGGAAGTGGGGGTTGTCACATTGATAGAACATGTGTCTTCCCTCCCTTTGCTCCCTTCAAGAGAATGCATGATGAGAACACAGCCCTTAAGCTCCCGGCTCCCCGTCTCACTCCCGGTATAAAAATCCTGGCTCAGCTTCTGACGAATAGTATTAGTCGACTCTGCATAAAAGTGTCAATACCTCGTAAACACGCATGTCCCAAAAAAAGAGGAGTTTCTTTGACTGGTAAGTTTGTCTATTTATTTATTAACAGGATCGCGATCAGACTGACTGCGCCCACTGCAGGACAAAGGCTTCTCCCTTGTTCCGATTCTCCCATTTACAGGAAACTGCAGGCTGAAAACGGGGCCCAAGCAACAGGGCAAAGCTGTATAGGAGCAGATAGAATTCAAAGCAACACCAACAAAGATAAGTGTGTGTCGAGGCCACATGAATAGTAAGGAACAATACTTATAAATGTAAAACAGTGCAATGGGTTCGGTCCCACATTTAAGCGATGGAAAGCGCCGCATTTATAATACAACTGTGTGTCGTTTCGTTCAATCGCGCCGCTACTACAGCCATGTGACACGTGTTCGACGAAAGTATCTACGAAAATGTCACAAGGCGTTTTGTTCGCAAGAATACTGCTGTTGGTACCGCCGTCGCTAGTGATTGTGAATAAAAAACAAGAAGGAAAAGTTTCGTGGTGGAGCGTCAAACCTGCGACTTGGCGCGTCTCAGCGCGCGAGACTAACCACTATAGGCCACAGAGCGGCCCTTCTCCAACGTGTTAATGGCGAGCCATTTATATACATCCTGTACCGGTGACGGCCCTCAGAGCTTGGCAACTTCAGCGCGCTTCCATCATCAGTAAGGAGATGGCACGACGGGGGCGGGTAGGGCGTGCGCGCGCTATAGGTCGTCGTTCCCGCCAACCCACGCCTCGCAGTGCGCCCGCGCCTCCACATGGTGTGGTCTAAATGCCTATAGAAGTTTTATAATGTTGTGGCTCACGCGCGCACCCTGATCTCGGGATCCGGCCGCTTTGTACATCCTGTGCTTCAACCGCAAGTTTGCTTTTCAGTTACAGTGGGGATCTTCGATTTTCGACTTCTGGCTACCCGCGGGCCGCCAGAGCCAGCCAGAGTGCGCTCGTTTTTCTCGGGCTGCTCCATCCCCCCCGCTGCGCACTTCCAGTTGGCATTCGTTTTTCTCGGGTTGGACGTTCTGGCGACACGCGGGAGCCCGACGATTGCCAGACGCTTCCAGGACAATTCAGTCGTGGAAGCCACCTTTCTGAGGAGTCGACGGATTGCAGTGTGGGCACTTGAGGACTGCGTCTTCCCTTGACATTACGCGTGGCGTTATCTTCTAAAGCCTGTTTCTCGCCTTGCGAGATGAGGCGATTACGAGTGGCGGCGAGTGTTTGAAGCTATTGTTCATCGCATTTGTTGCGTTTCCCGTGAAGCTTTCTCCTGTGAACAACGCGATGAACTGTTGACTGCGTCGTGCACAGCCGCCACGCTGTTTTAAATGTCAGCGTTTCGGACATGTTGCTAAGCACTGTCGAGGGGAACAAAGGTGTAAGCGATGTGGGGGGCTTCATGACTTTAAGACGTGTACAAGTAAAGAAAAACTTGTGTGTGCAAACTGTGGCGGCGACCACTCAGCTAGCTACGGCCGATGTCCAGCACGAACAGCTGCGCAGCGAAGAAATAAGACGTTTGTCCTCGGCCCGAAGACTGTGAACGAACCATAGCTCACAAAGAAGACGTCCGGCGCGCCACAACATGGCGGTTTGGATAACGAGTATGCAGGAAATTTTCCGTGCCTAAATCCGACAAGAGCTGGTACTGAGTCAACGCAAGTGCTCAACGCTGGTGAGAAATGTATCACGAAAGAGTCCGCCAAGCGCACCTACGCTGATGCACTGAGCCCAACTCAAGTACCATCTGGAAGCAAACAACAAGAAAACCTCGAGCACGTTATTCGCGCTCTGTTCACCGCACTGCGTTCACACGTCGCTAAGATGCCTGCGAGTTCAACGAAGGATATGTTGGAAGCAGTCCTGGCTCTAGAGTCTGTGTTACTTTGCTCTGCTTCCACAAACACACAGTAGAATAATGGCAATGTCTCGCCCACCTGGTCTATTCCGTCCTTCAAAATTGCCCTTAATAATGCAATGAAACTGCGCCAGTCTTCTAAAACGTCTGTGCAAACTCAACCTTTTCCTGCGCGACATTCCAATACCAATTCTAGCCCTCTCCGAAGTCGGTCTACCGAATGCAAGGACGCTCCCAGGGTACACCCGACACGGCAACCCGAGCATAACATCGTTTGCAAATGGAAGCGCATTGATATACATCAGGCGGGAAATACCTCACGTCACATTACCAGTGCAAGACCTTTGTTTCAACTCACTGGAAGTAGCTGCTGTGCAAGTGTGCCTGGGAAACCGAAAACTGAGTGCGGTATCAGTGTACATGAGCCCACGAAAAAAGTTCTCCATGGAGACTTTCCTAAAGGATTTTTGCACTCGATGTCCCGCTCCTCGAATAATCTATGGTGATTTTAACGCGCACCATCCACTCTGGGGAGATAAGAGTGTAGATTTTCGAGGCAAGGAACTTCTAGCAGCTGCGGATGCTGCCGACGTATGTGTGGCGAACGATGGCAAACCTACATTTTTCAGGCCACCAGATTCATGGAGTGCAATAGACCTTCACTCCACGGACCTTCTGGTATCATCGACCACGGCTCCAGACAGGATGGGCAGCGACCATTTCCCCATCTTCACCAATATCCTGGGATTTCGAACTGCTGATCGACAATTCTGCAATGTAACACGCTGGGACACCTACAGAGAAGCGTTGGACAAATCCACTGGCGAGCTGTTCGCAGTTATGTTGCAGCAAGCGAACAGCAACTTCGTTGCTGAAACTGCCCGACCATTTTCCTGCTCCTAACTTGAAATTGAAGAACCTCTGCACAGCACGTAGACGGGCGGAGCGGAAAATAATGAGAACAAAAGGAAATGCGTCTGCGAAAACCGAATATAACAGGATAAACGCTGCGATTCGTCGCCATACAAAAAAAATTAGGACGAAATCAATGGGCCGCTTTCTGTGAGAGTTTATCAACGTTTACTCCCTTGACAAAGATATGGGCAGTAATAAATAGTCTTTCTGGAAAGATTCGAACACACAGGCAATTCGAAGCACTCGCTTTGAAACAAGGGATAGATTTGCAAACCCTTGCAGAGGATTTCGCAGACGTGTACACATCTGGTAGATCAGCAGGAGCGGCGATTCCTCTGTCACCCCAGTTTTTTCACACGATGAATACACCATTCACCTTTCGAGAGCTGGATATGGCACTTAGCAAATTAAGAAGACGCTGTGCCGTGGGTCCCGATTTGATCAGCAATCAAATGCTGACAAATATACCATATAAGCGAAAAAGGGCCCTTTTGGACATATTTAATCATATCTGTAGCACGGGAGAGATCCCATCTGTTTGGAAGACAGCATGGGTGGTGCCAATCCTAAAGTCCGGAAAGGATCCTGCGAGCCTCGTGTCATATCGACCGATATCTCTTACATCATGCGTATCTAAGTTGATGGAAAGATTAATATGTACAAGATTAACTTGGTACCTTGAACAAGGAAGACGATGGCCATCGTGTATGACCGGATTTCGCCCACGACTGAGTGCCCAGGACAGTGTTTTGGACCTATTAGGCCACATCGAGCACCACCACGTCAGCGGACTCTCGACACTCGCTGTCTTCATGGACGTTGCCAAGGCATATGATTGTGTGCTTCAGGCAGGCATCGTGAACGGGCTCCAAGCCATGGGTGTGTCGGGAAATGCTCTTCGGTTCGTACATGAATTTCTCAGAGACCGCTGTGTCCGTGTTAAGCTTGGAAATGTAACGAGCGAAGAAAAACGCGTTTCCCTCGGCGTCCCACAAGGGAGTGTTCTATCTCCCTTGCTCTTTAACGCTGCCATGGCCACCCTTCCCGACACTCTGCACTTAGCTCTGAAAGCAGTCAAAATATCCGTCTACGCCGATGACATCTGCATTTGGATCTCAGGGTACCAGCACATACGTTTGGCCCGGATAGCACAGAGCGCTATTTTAATCATTGAGCGTCACTTGTTCACACTTAGCCTATTTTTATCAGCGGAAAAATCGGCCTTCATGCTCTTCCCGGGAGCGTGACGGAAGCCAACACGTCAGTCACTGAATATTCGAGGGCACTCAATTCGTTGTGCAACAAGTTTCCGTTTCCTGGGCATTGCCGTCGACAACAAGCTATTATGGCGACGTGCGGTTGATAGTATAGTCACTGCATCACTGAAAAGGATCAACGCTCTTCGTCAAATGGCAGGGGTTCGTTGGGGCAACAATCCTATGTCCATGCTTAAATTGAATGATGCGCTAATAACAAGCCGCATTCTCTATCGGCTGCCCCTGATATCACCATCACCAAGCCAGTTCGAACGCCTAGAGGCAGTGCACAGAAAGGGTCTTCGCTTGGCGATGGGAGTCCCTCAGGTGGATTCAAACACAAAGGTCACCAGTGAAGCCGAGTCTCTTGCGCTCCGCCTTTTGGCGTCTCCAGCCTTAATGACGCAGCTGTCAAGACTGGGCGAGTCTCGCAGTCCGCTTCTCCTGCGGCTAAGAGCAAGAACTGGCTGACATTTCAACGCGGCACTAAACACATTTCAATATTTAGGCTTGAAACTGGCTAAACGGCGCTCTATGGACCCGCCAAGGTCTTTTGTGGATGTTGCGTGTAACTTCAACGTACCCAATCTACCAGCGAAGCGCACCATTCCAGCCGCGGAAGCAAAATTTCTTGCGCTGGACCAATTGAGCACCATGTACCGCAGCCACCTACAAGTGTACACCGACGGATCAGTATG